GCATACGTGTTAAGGCGAGCAATGGTATATATTAATATTGATTAAATTAGTATTTTAAGTATTTAACATGTAAAAGAAAAATATTGTAGTACATTTTTTTTTATTTTAGGCACTGTGCTCTGTCCAAATTGCAGCTTTGATGTAGATCAAATTCAAGAAACTGTAGTTGACACTCATGAAACCACTAACACGTCAACAGTTGCTCTTCCAACTCAACCTAGACCTGAAGCAGTTGAAACGACTTTATTAGCGTCTGATCTTCCTACTCAACTTGGGTCTAAAGAAATACCTGTGTTAGAAGTTCCTCCTACTCCGCCCATTCCATCTGAGTCTGATAGTTTTAGATTGTGTGTGATTGTTTCTGATTGAGTATGATTGTTTCTTATTACAATTAGCCCACCTTCTCCTGCTGCGCTACGGTGGCAAGGACTAGCCTGACCGAGCTAAGCTGAGCTGGGGTGGCCAGCGGGAGGGGTGGACGCCCCGGGCCCGCAGGTAGGCGCGTTAGGCACGTTCAGTAGACTCTCATTCGACCGCCGCGCTGCGGCGCCCACGGACGGGTTACTAGAATACGGTACGGCTCTTGCTTCAGCCGCTACCCCCGGAAAGGCCTGCTCGTGCCGCCATCCTTCCTCTACGCGACTTCCACTCTTAGACTGACGAGGACGATATCGTGGGCTGGAGCCGCAGAGTGTGCAGTGCAGACGTGACCTCAGGTACCCCAGGCGTGTCACCGTGCGCCGGTCAAGGAATTAGCGCCAGCGCCCAGCCGGGGTTTACTAGGAAGGAAAAATTCTAACGCTAACGCGTTAACGGCCCCCTTAGATTTTAATGTTAACATTGGAATAATAATACTACAACGATGCATCAGATTAGCTACTAATTTTGCCGTACACTGCAGCCAAATATCTAGGAAAGTTATGTTGATCAGAATAATTCAATTGTCAACTGAAAATCTTCATATTTACGTTGGTTACTTTCCTGTGCACCGAAAAATTATAAGCAATTTGTCTATTAAAAATATTTCAACTTTCCATTACACAAGACTCTTCACCCGTTACATATAAGACGGAGCCTCAAATTATTCCACAGCAAAATATGTGATGGATGCAATGCTTCACATGAATTTTATATCGCTGGTAGGTACAAAACAACTTAGATATGATCAATAAAAAAGATTGAAACGGATAACACTTACAGTGACATTTCTTTATTTTTCAGGAGAATATGCATCATACTTGGCAAATCTCACAAACAAATTTGATGACATTGACATATTCAT